GATTTTTTTTAAAAAAAAGACAGAGAAGTGGGGGGAACTGGAGATACAGCTCCATGCGCAAGCCTTAGATTCAATTCCCACTACCAAAAAACTAAAAAATTGTAGGCAGCAGTTTCATGGTAAACTTGTCATGAATTTTAAATTTTAATTCTAAGACAAGCTACCTTTAGGATAACACTTAATCTTCCTGAAGAACAGCAGAATCTGTTCCAATGAACATTTTTCCTATTTTTCTATACCAGAATTTTTCAACACATTAAACTATAGATATCCTTAATAAAGTAAGAAAAAAGCACAGTGAAAACTCACTACTGGACAATTACTAGGAAAAAAGCTAGACAAGTGAGGCAGGGCAGGGACTCTTAGACCTTATACTTAGGGCACAATCCACGAAGAAGCGATTAATAAAGGGGACTTCGTTAGGGTTGGAAACGTTTACTCTGTGAAAGACACTGGCAAGATAGTTAATGACAAGAAAATAACTGTACAGACACATCTGACAAAGACTTGCAACACAAAATGTACAAATAACTCTTAAAACACAACAATAAGAAAACAAACAAAAACTCTAAAACCTCAGATCGCAACTAACTTGTTCTCCAAATGTTCTGCAAGACAAGCGGACATTTTAAATAAATTTTTACTTGATACACAAGTGACATCTTGCAAATGAGCAGTATGTGATGCCAAGTGCCACTTGGTCCCAACTGAGCTAGTGGCCTACTCACTTCCACCTCTCGATGTGGGATTGGGGGTGCTGCCTCCCAACAGCAAGGGCTTAAGGAAGACATCTTGGCTGAGGTGAGGAAGAAAAAAAGGTGGAGAAATTCCTCACATCAAATGAGATTAAGGAGATGTGGAAAACAGTATCAAATTTTGTAGAAAAGCAGCAGCTCAATAAGGATATAGTAATAAAAGCAATCAATCTGTTTAATGACACTGCAATATTATATTTTCGTGAAATCCTCAAAAAGAGGCAAAAATCAAGTGTCACTGGAGAAGTTCCTTGTTAAAGCTGAATGAAAAAAAAAGAAAAAAAAGGTTCCGTTGACCTAACAGACAGCAGTGATTCCCTCTGTGTGGGTGAAAGGCCTCCTGCAGTTGCCCTCCTCTCTCCTGCTTCCCTCACACCAGCCCCGAAGGTTTTTAAAGGTTAATTTGTTTGTTTTTATTTATATTTGTATTTTTGTTATTATTTTGTATTATATTACAGAATTATTATAACCATTTTATATGAATATTTTGGGGCTGTAGAACAAACTATCTGAGTTTCCATTATTTCTTATGGAGAAATTCACTTTGATGTACAAGTGCTCTGAATTACAACCATCATTCCAGAATAAATTATGCTTGCAAACTAAGGCTTTACTGCAGAGTTTTGTTATTTGGTTTTCTAAGACAGGGTCTTGCTACGTAGTCCAGGCTGGCCTTGAATTTGTAGTGAACTGCCTGCCTTAGCCGCCGAAGTACTGGGATTACAGGTGTGCACTGTACAGCATTTTAAAACTGAGGCAAAGATCTTAAAGACACTTCACCAAAGAAAAACAGCAGAAGGCAGGTAAGCCGCGAAGACACCCACATGTCATGCATGTCATGAGGAAGTGCAAGTTAGAACCACAACAGAGTCAAGATGTACTGTGAGAGTGGCCAGCACCAGATATTGACTCCACCATGGGTGGTCCCTGTATGGAGCACTCCCTCACTGATAGCGGGACACAGAATGCTGCTGCTTCACACAAAATGCCACACACTTTCTTCATATGACCCAGCAACCACATCCTCACCATCTACCCAAGTAAACTAAAAACATGTCGACACAAAAACCTGCACACGGGTGCACACAGCAGCTTAACTCTTCATTGCCAGCACTCGAAAGCAGTCAGAGGCAAAGGGATAAGGATAAATGTATGTGCAGACGACAGAATTATCTGGTACTAGAAATAAATGAGTTACAAGCCATAAAAAGACACGAAAGAATCTTAACTGCACCTTACTGAGTGAAAGGCTGCATCCTAATAGTATCAAAAAGTAATTTCTCAAACCAGACATGGTGACAAGAGCCTTTCATCCCAGCACTTGGGAAGCTGGAGGCAGAACGATCACAAGCTTGAGGCCAGCCTGACCTACATAATAAGCAGCTTTAAAAAACAAAACAAGTAATTTCTCAAACACAGGTTCACACATTAAACACACAGCCGTTTAAGACAGCTCCAACTTCTGTTCACTGAGATGGGCATAACCCTACCAACACATGGCATTCCGGAGAAGTTCAAACTACAGAGACAGGAGTGATTGCGGCTGCCAGTCCAGGGAGGGAGCAGGCATGGGGGAAGTACAGAGGGCTTCCAGGCAATTGGGCTGCTGCACCACACACTGTCCAAACCCACTGGCTGCTGGGGTGGAAGGGTGGGGGCGGGGGCAGGAGGACATGCGTACATGGGAACTATTTGCACTTTCCACTCAAATTTGCTTGCTATCTAAAATTGTATGCCAAAAAGTCTATTAAAATAAAACATGTTAAAACTCCTACTGACAGAGGCAAAGAACATGAATGACAACTCTTCAAACAAAAGCTCTGAAAGTACTTTAACAAATGTGCTAATCACCTAACCAAAACTGAATATAGATGGAGGATATGTGGGTGTTTAAACTCTTATTCTTCCAACTTTTTGGTATTTTAGATACTTTTCAAAATAAAAAAATTCATAGGAAAAAAGTGGGCTTTAGGCCAAATGGCACACATCTGTAATTCTGTCCATACAAGAGGCTGAGGCGGGAGGATCATGAATTCCAGGCCAGAACAGCAGCTTTGAAAGATTCTGTCTCAAAATTTAAAAATGAAAAGAGCCATGGGTATAGCTCAGTAGAAGAGTAGTCCAGGGTTCAATTCTCAGCACGGAGAGAAAGGGAGATCCTAGGGCTCGTTTAGAGAACTAGAAGCAGAACAGGAGGGCTTCATTTGAAATTTTCAAGAGTTCATTTGGAAATAAGTTTCTCATCTCTAATGGAGCATCTTCATTTAACTCTGCCACCACACATAAATTCTCACCATTAAAGATAACAGCTACTGTTTGTGACTGAGCCGGGCAGGAACACCGCCAGTTCAAACAAGCCCACTGATCTTAAAAACTTGGGATGTCTTTTACTTAGCTCATGGGTGGTGCCCAGGGGACAGTCAGCAGGCCACAGCAGGCAACAGCAGACAGGCCAGCAGGTCACAGAGCACAACTCAGTAAGTCACAAGCCTGTTTCTCTGACCCAACCCTCAAAAGCCCACCAAAAAACACTAAAAAGAAGCCTCTTGGCCTGTAAAAGACACTTTTTGTGTTCCACTGGCAGGGAGGTCCCTTCCAAGTCTAGCACCATTTGCACTGTTGAGTTCACACTTCCTGTAATTACAAAATTTTGAGAGTTAAAAAATTATATAGGATGATGGGGCTCAGAGCCTGTGAAGTCTACGTACACATCCGCTGAAATGGAGCCTTCTCATCTGTGCAACCAACACGAACCCAAAATGAAAACAACTTCCTAACAACCTATGACAACAAAAAAAGAAAGAAACAACCTCAGTCCCTAACAGAGGGTGTTTCACCTCAACTCGGAAAAAATCACTTCAGAAACTATTTCCTGTCCTCAGAAGAAGTAACTCATTATTGGCTTCTAAAACAGAATCCCTAAAATTTAACACAAGAAGAAATTTATGACTCTGAAAGAAAGAAAAGAAAAAAGAAAAGAAAAGAGAAAAAAGAAAAGAAAAGCGCTAGGTTTCTGACCCAAATTTCTCTGCCCAGGCAGGAAAAGTGCATTGGCGAGGGTGGGGGAGGGCTGTGTGCCTGTGCAGGATCCACCTGGGATCCTATTTAATTAAAAAATTCTAGACATTCCAAACATATCTCTGCACTTGTCACCCAGTGCCTGGCAATTTTCGGTATAAAGGACTCCGCCCGCCGTCTTCCTCCAGAAAATCAAAGGTTTAAGGAAAGGAAGTACGTGCTATGCAAACAAACACCGAGCTCGGGGCGCATTCTGCGCGGTCGCCCGCCGGGCGTCTGGAAGGGCCGCGAGCAGCGTGATTCAGGACTTCTGCGTCCCGAGCCGCTCCGCTCGTCCGGGAGAGGGAGGGGCGGCGCCGGTCCGGCAGGGTCGGCACCGGAGGACGTCCGCGCGTTCGCGCGGGGTCGGGTCCAGCAGCTCCGCGCCGGGGGTCGGGGCACCGCCCCGCCTGCGCCCGC